TTGCACTGAGAGCTGAGATTGCATCGCACTGCCTCTCCTCTAGATGTTTAGGATGTCTCCAGCGTTTTGTGGTCACACACAGGGCTTCAGGGAACAGGCGTGTAGGCAGGTACACTGTTCTGCTGCGCATGGGCCAGGCGAATTGGAGGATAAATCCCCAGCAGTGGATTGCTGGGTCAGGGGATGTGTGCACTGTGATTTGAACAGATGTCAACTCACCTTCTGTAGAGGTTGGGTCAAGTCACCCTCTCCTGAGGAAGGTAGGGAGATGACAGCTTATCCCCACCCAGCCAAGGCCCTGTGCTTTCATTTTCTTTCTTTTTTTTTTTTTTTTGACTCTTAGCCAATCAGATACCTGGAAAATGGTAGCTCTGTGTGACATTATTGACATTTAATTTGAGTAAGGATGACTGTTTGGAGTTCCTTTTCTAGATGAAGCATTTTTGCCACCCGGGGACAATGCTGAGCCGATGACATGGCAGTGCCGCTCTGGACACACTGATTCCCCAGGACGCTCATCTTCTCAGGCTGAGTGGGATGTGCGCCTGTGGCCGCCTGGGGTGGAGTGATCGCCTGGGATGGAGTGACCGCTCAGGATGGAGTGACCGCCCGGGGTGGAGTGACCGCCTGGGATGGAGTGACCGCCCGGGATGGAGTGACCGCCCGTGGTGGAGTGACCGCCCGGGATGGAGTCACCGCCCGGGGTGGAGTGACAGCCCGAGGTGGAGTGGCCACCTGGGGTGGAGTGGCCGCCTGGGGTGGAGTGGCCATCCGGGATGGAGTGGCCGCCTGGGATGGAGTGGCTGCCTGGGATGGAGTGACCGACTGGGATGGAGTGACCGCCTGGGGTGGAGTGGCCGCCTGGGGTGGAGTGGCCGCCTGGGATGGAGTGACCACCTGGGATGGAGTGGCCACCTGGGATGGAGTGGCTGCCTGGGATGGAGTGGCCGGCCACCTGATGGAGGGCAAGGTTTTTGAGTGCCCATTCCACTACTTACTTTCTGACCCTCGGATTTCTCCTTTGTGAAAAATGGAAAGAATAATAGAACCCACTTCAGATAGCTCTGAGAAGGATGAATTTAAGTTTTTAATGTGAAATGCCTGGCACAGTTCCTGGCTCAGAGTTAGTGCTTAGGAAATGTTTGTTGAATGAATAAATGAAAGATATATAATCATCTTAAAAACTTTTATTGAGTACTTATTATGAAGGCTTTCTCACGTATTAACATATTTAAGCTTCACAATGACACCAGGAGGGGAACTTTTATTATCCCCCTTTAAAGATGAGGAAACTGAGGCACAGAGAGAGAGATACAGGATCTTGCCTAAAGGCTCATTGATGGCAGTCATTGTTGGCGACGGGCTGTGTGGTCTTCTGTCTGCTCTTCCCCATCTCACTTCCTTGCTTCCCACTCTAGGAGAGAGGTGCCACCATAAACCCCATTCCAGCTGTCCACTGCATGAAGCAACCCTCCCCAACCTCAGGGGCGTAAACAAACAACCATTTTATCATATGCCTGGGTTCTGAGGATCAGGAGTTCAGACAGAATAAGGTGGGTAACTTATCTCTGCTGGGCCTTAGATGGAAGGACTCTGTGGCTGGGAGGATTTGGGCGAGGGTGGGCGGGGTAAAACAGGAAGGACTAGAAGACCCACTTGCGAGAAGGCTTTTCAGTTGCAAGTGTGGCTGGAGGATCCATTCTGCCTTGTAGATGGTAGTTTGGCTATGGCTATGGGTGAGGGTGGGAGTCGTCGGGGACTGAGTGGGAGCCAGCAGACCCCAGGGCTGAGTGCACATGTTCCAGGATCTGACAGCTTGGGAGGCTTAGAAATTCCAGGACTGATACCCCCAGGAGTAGGTTCTCCAGGCCTTTGCAAGTGCTGTTTGCTCCCCCTCCCCACCCACCTCATTAACATCTCACACTCTTCAGTTCTCAGCTTGGCTATCTGGTCCTGGAGGAGGAGATCCCTAACCCCTGTACACTGTAGATGGGATTTGCTAGATCCTGTCTGCATGGAAGGTCTTAATCACATTGTTGGAATTGACTGCAGACTGAACCCTTGGAGGACAAGACAGGGTCTTTATCACCAGCACCCAGCACAGTACCAGGCACACAGTAGGTACTTTATGTATAATTGAATGAATGAATGGGTGAGACTGATGGATTTTGAATGATTTGAACTTGAGCCTCAGCTGCTCCTTCTAGAAGTTAGCTGGCCCCGGTAGCTGTAAAGGTGGCAGGGGTAGGAGGGAAAAGTGAGGTTAGTAAGAGGAATTCAGAAAAATGGTAGTCATGATTTATGCTGAGGAGAGAAAAACAAAGGAAATGAGGCATTGCATCTGAAATGCTTAGCAATGTTTGGCACGTAATAGGCGCTCCATAAATATAAGATGATGTCATCATCCGTATCCTCATCACTACTATTTTTATTATAAGATGCACATTTCCTGAGTTAGAAGGTCCACATAGGATGGCTTGAGATTTTCCTCTGGGCTGGGTGGGGTGGCTTAAGTCTGTAATCCACTTTGGGAGGCTGAGGCAGGAGGATCACTTGAGCCCAGGAGCTCCAGGCCAGTCTGGGCAACATAGTAAGATTCTGTCTCTACTAATAATTTAAAAATTAGCTGGGTATTGTGGTGTGCATCTGTAGTCCCAGTTACTCAGGAGGCTGAGGTGGGAGGATCACTTGATCCCTGGAGGTTGAGGCTGCAGTGAGCTGGGATCACACCACTGACCTCCTGTCTGGGCAACAGAGCTATTAAGGGATCCCATCTTAAAAACAAAACAAACAAACAAAACAGAGAAAAGAAATTTTATTCTAAGTGAAAATGGAGAGGTGTAATCCCCACAGGTCACCTGGGCAGGAAGTCATGTCTTGATGACTCACCCGGGATGCTGGGCTTGAGTCCTCCTCTGAGTCACATTTCCCTTCTGTGCAAGGAAGGGCCCCGGACACGGACCTCTGAGACTGGCACTGCACGGCTAACAAGGCCATTCAGCTGAAGTCCCCAGTGCAACTGTTGTCCTTCAGCCTGAGGCAGTCCTTCCGTCTGAGGCAGCCTCTCCCCTGCCCTCCGCTGCCCTCCACCCCTCTCCAGCCTTGCTAGGAGAGAACAGCAAGTCCCCCAGTTTCAGAAATGCGCTCCTTTACCAGCCTGGCTGCAATCTGTTCCTGATTGATTGGCGCCCTCCAGTGGCAGATTGTGGGAAAGACATGCAGGGCCGTGGTGAGCGGTCAGGCCAGGATGAGGATAGAGTGAGTGGGGGGGGTGGGGGTGTCTGCGGAGAGGGCCCTGGTGTGGCCCAGCTAGAAGAGGGGACAGGAAGAACTCAGCAGGGATCCCTCAGCTCTGGCCAAGGGGTTGTTCTCTCCCTCTGGCCTAGCATCCGTAGGGCCAATAGCAGCGGAACCTTCCCTTGGGCTCTACCCCGACTGCCCTTCTTTGGCTGTGTGACCCCACCCCGTTTCTGAGCTGCTCTGTGAACTTCTCCGAGCTTCGCTTGTAAGAAGGGAGTGAGTGATGCCCACCTGGCCGCAGTTTCCTTCCCAGAGAGGCGCCTCAATCCTCCAGAAAATGTAAGAGATGCTGGGATTTGAAAGGATTGGAGCTGGGGCAGGGAACGTCTGAGATGGAAAGGTGTCAGGAGGGGCTTGAGCCCTGAAGAAGAGATTTCATCCTGTAATTTGAAAATATTAAAAACGTCCACAGCCCCATATAAAGACAGAGGACTAGGCCCCCTGAGGGAAAAGAACATGGACAGGGAATTGCGGGACTGGAAACTTCCACTCCTATCTTGGTCTTAGAATTGTGAAATGTAGAACGTTCAGCATCCTTCAACTGGAATCTTAATAGAAAGCACTATATTGTGTGTGTGTGTGTGTGTGTGTGTGTGTGTGTGTGTGTATTTATTTATATTTATATGCGGGGGGGGGCATGGTGGCTCACAACTGTAATCCCAGAACTTTGGGAGGCTGAGGTGGGAAGATCACTTGAGACCAGAAGTTCAAAACCAGCCTGAGCAACATATTGAGACCCCATCTCTACAAGACATAAAAAATTAGCTGGATTTGGTGGTGTACACCTGTAGTCCCAGCTACTTGGGAGATTGAGGCAGGAGGATTGCTTGAGGCCAGGAATTTGAGGCTGCAGTGAGTTGTGACCACTGTCACCCAACCTGGGTGACAGAGCAAGACCTTGCCTCAAAAAAAAAAAAAAAAGAAAAGAAAAAAGAAACACACACACACACACACGCACAAACATACACACTAAACTCTACAGAATCTGATCATTGAGCCTTGAGGTCAGGATCAGAATTGCAGCCGCAAATCTAGACTCAGCCCTCTGGGCTGGAAATCATGTGAGAGCCACTTCTCCCCCAAGCTTGTCCAGGAATGAAAGTTTGCTCTCACCGCCTGCTCCTAAACTTGCTAGCAATGAATAGATCTGGGGTAGGGCCCTAAAATCTGAATTTCTACTAACATCCCCAGCAGATGCTGTTGGATCTTCCAGATTTCGGCAATAGATTTAATTTAGCCTTACTTCTTCATGGGGAAACTGAGGCCCGGGAAGGGGAAGTGACTTGACCTAGACCCCACCAGATAGCTGGTGACAGGCTGGAGCTCCCACCTGTGTCTCCCAATGCCGAGGTCACTCTCATCAGCAGCCCAGGGTGTTTAGATGGCCCTGTCAACCTCCCAGGTGCCCCTGGTCCCTGAGACATGTGGTTCGTGGAAGTGTGAGGTTCTGGGGCTTGAGGTGTTACCCTCTTCTGCCTCTGGCTGAGCCCGCTTCTTGAGAGGGGCCTGGAAGGCTGAGGGTTGCTCCTCTTTTATCAGCTCCCCCCAAGCTGAAACTCCACCCCATCCCCAATACATCCTGAACCCTCTCAGCTCCAAGCATTCCTGTGAAAACCACTCCGCATGTTTTAAATCCTGCTACTCCGAACTCATCAGGATCATGGTTTTGTAACACCCTCTTGATGCTCAAGAAACATTTGCAAGTTTCTTTTCCCTTTATTAAAAAATTTTTTTTTAAAAATGTTAGGGTCTTGAAACAATAACAATGGAGCATTTCAGAGACACAAATATTTGCAGAAGGGAAGCTGGTGGCCTGGCTGGGTGGAGGAGGCGGCTCTAGCTGTTCTCAGGGAGGTGAGGGGAGGGAAGTCAGGGAGAGGGTGGGCATTTTGCAGTCAGGTGGACGGCAGGTCTGAGGGTGGGCACTCTCTTGGGGTGGGTGGGGGGTAATGTTTCACCACCTAGAGGCTCTCCCCAGCCTGCTGACCACCTTCCTTCCCCAGGCCACCCCAGGCCCCTCGGAGCTCCGACTCTTGCTTCTCCTGCCCATTCCTATCCCAGCTACGGAGCCCAATGCCTTCAGGCTAGCCAGTCATGGCAAACACAAATCCCCTTCCTGAGGATTCTGGGGAGCAGAGCAGGAAGCGGGTGTTACATGGCAGAAGGACAGGCAGTGAGGATGAACTTGCTTCCAAGCTGGGTCTGACCTGGAGACTTCCCAACGTTGTTCCTGCCAAGGGCGAGGGTCGTCACAGGAAGCACAGATGCTCAGGGAACTTGGTAGTGGGTGCGGGGATCTTCCCTTGCTCCCGACCCACAAATCCCTACATCCCCCCTGCCCGCCCCACATGACCCCCAATGTCTCCTCTCAGCCTTGGGCGTGCTGAGCAGAGCCGTCAGGCAGAAGCAGAGCCTGAGGTTTCATGTGTGACGCTAGGCATGCCCCTTCCTTCTCACGCCTGTCTCCCCACGTGGGCAGGAGTGATGAGTTGGGGAACGGAGCTGCTGGATCTCAGTGTTCCTTTCAGTTTCAATGGCTTCTTCTGGGCTGGGCGGGTGGATCCTCCAGCAGTGACAGCCTACCTGATCCAGCTTGGGAAAAAGGGGCATGGGACCTGTGAGAGGGAGGCCTGTGCAGGGAGGGCTGGTGGGGGTGGCAGGCAGCTTGCAGAGGATGACCTGGCTGGCTCAGGGCTGGCTGCCCAGCAGAGGCCAGGTTGTGGCCCTCCACGGCCAGCTGGAGGAGGTCGGCAGGCCTCTGGAAGCCCTGAAGCCTTGTCCAGCCAGCTCCTCGGGGCAGCTGGTGGCTGAGGGCTGTGGAAATGGCCTCTGGGGACTGTCCAGAGAATTAGGTGCTCACAGCTCAGCGTTCTGGAGCCCCTTCCCCCGAGCAGAGGCAGGGCCCTCAGGACTCACCTGTGCTGTGGCCCAGGCTTTGCCCTCTGGAAACCCTTTCTCTGCAAAGATGGGGTCAGGGAAAGGCCTGGGAAAAGATGTTTGCTTTCTTTAAGGAGTAGAGAGAGAGAGAGCTGCAGGGGAGGGCCCAGGCTCATGGTGTCTCTTCAAGTGGTTGTGAGAGAGAGGAGAGAAGAGGAGGGAGAGAGAAGGAGGCAGTGAAGTACAGGAAGAAACACAGGAAGAAAGAAAAGACAGATAAAAGATAAGCGAGAAAGAAGAGGGAGGGAGGGAGAAGGAGAGGAGAACTGGGGTGGAAGAAATAAAGGAAATAAAGAAGGAAGAAAAGTGGAAGGTAGACCGACACAGGAAAATGACAGAAGGGTGGGGAGAAGAGAGGGCAAATGGAGAGGATGGAGGAGGAGGGGCAGGAGGAGGATCAGGAGGAGCAGGAGGTGGAGGAGGAGGGGCTGAGGAGCAGGAGGAGGAGGAGGAGGAGGGGCCGAGGAGGAGCAGGAGGAGGAGGAGGAGAAGGAGAAGGAGGGGCAGAGGAGGAGGAGGAGGGGCAGGAGGAGGAGAAGAACAAGGGGCAGGGGAGGAGGAGGGGCAGAGGGAGGAGCAGGAGGAGGAGGAGGGGCAGGAGGAGGAGGAAGGGCAGGAGGAGGAGGAAGAGGAGGAGCAGGAGGAGGTGTGCAGGGGCCGAGGACTAGGACCAGAGGCTGGGAGAGCTGCGGTCAGGGCTGCGGGCCGGGCTGGCGCGGCCTCACGTCCAGCCTGCGGTCCAGCTTCCTGTCCTTGCGGGGGCGCCGGTCCTTCCTGCCCTTCTTCTGGCCGGGGTTCCTCTCTGCAATGAGAGCACAGGGCCTGGTGACCGAGGCGGCAGGGCCAGTTAGGTCCTGGGAGCCTCCTCAGTTCTGAAAGATGAGGGTGCCCCACCCACTCCCCAGCAACGGGACTCAGAAGAATGTTTGGGCGCTGACCTTGCAACCCCTCCTGTTGAGAATTTGGACCATGAGCTAACTGACCCCAAACTGAGCCTTTCTCTCTAGTTCTTCAGGTAGTGGCAAGGGCCACTACCTTGCTCGGGGCCTTTCAGTGCCGGGCATCGGGCTTGGCCAGGCCTGCAGGTTCACATGAGGGTGCCCCAATCAACACGCAGGGTGGCCTCCTGGGGGTCCCCGTGGCTTTCCCGGGCACACCTGCTCCACAGCTGAGCAGGCTCTGTTTCGGACACGAGGCATCTTTCACCTGTGTCCCTGCACCACTTCTCCAGAACACGGGGGCAATAATACTTGAGCATTTAGAGAGTGCTCACTGCATGCAGGCCACAGCCCTGAGTGCTTTATGTATAGGAAACACACAACAGCCGGGAGAGGCAGGCAGGGTCTGCCCCCCACCCCGTCCCATCTTCTCCATTTGCCCCTCTTTCTCCCTGCCCTTCTATCATTTCTCTGTGCCAGTCTACCTTTTCTTTCTTTTTCTTCTTTATTTCTTCTACCTCCATTCTTCTGTGGCAGGGGTGGGCTGGGTGCAAACCCAAAACCTAACTCTGAATCTTGAACCCTGTGTGCTTCCCCGCTCCCACACCCTGGCCCCTGACCCTGTGGCGCTGGGCTGAATTTCTTCTAACACAAACATCAATTAGTGTCATTTCTCAGATGAGGTGACTGAGGCCCAGCAAGGGGAGTGACTTGCTCAGTGGCACAGCCTAAACTGGAGTTTCTGATGTCCAGCCTTGTGCTCTCCCTTCTAGGTGACACATTGGGGCAGAGGAGACACATGGGAGGAGTGGCAGAGTGCTCAGATGCTCTTTTGAAGAGCAAACAAGATCTGGCCTGTGCCCAAGCTCCCCCAGGGGCTCCCAGCTCACTTGACGGAGTCGTCTCCCTGGCCCGCCTTGCCCTCTCCCTCCCTGACCTCACCTCTCCTGCACATAGCGTGTGCACAGTCCACACTGACGGTTCCATGTCATTACTACTCACCATTCACATCTTACCAACCACACCCTGTGGCCTCTCTTCTGTGTAAATCAGTGGTTCTTAACAGCCCCCAGAGGCATTTTGGAAATATGTATACTGGTCTCGGAAGCCATAATGAAGGGGGATCCTGTGCATTCAGTGGACAGCAATCAGGGTGCAGTGTGGGACAGTCCCCCACAAAGACCAGTGGTCCCCCATTCCATCCAATTCCCTCACATTGTTTCCCACCCTCATGTAACTGAAAGGTCTGCTTGCTGGGAGCTGAATTCTGTTTGACCCATGAATGCCAAGTGGTTTTGAACACTTCCATTCACTGAAGATTCTAGGGCACTGTGAGTGCACTGCCAATCAAGAGAGCAGTTTGGTTGGACTTTTTGTGGGGCAGTGTCCTGAGGTCACTCTGTCCCTTACCCACCACAGCCTCACATGCCTGTCCTGGGGCTCACCTCCTGGGCAGGGCCTCTGGATGGGACATTTCCTTGACTCCGACAGCACCTGGCAGGTGGCTGTCTCCTCCTGCCCAGCCTGGCCAGCCTCTCGTACCCGGGTCTCCAGGCCCCAAGCAGAGCCACAGATCTTTCCGTTGTGTGTGCAGGGGCTCCAGCCACCCCAGGGACCCAGTTCACATTCCCCTGTGGGGTGAGAGGAGAGACGGACAGACAGGGTCAGCCAGCAGTGAGGTCCTTCAGATCCAAGGGCAGGGTTTGGGGGATTCAGTCCTCGAAGACTGAAGACATCACTTCTACCTGCAAAGGATTTGGTCTACTGCTAGGAGCTGGGGGGGGGTGGCATTTAAAAAGTTATTTATAAGAGCGTGGAATGACAGACTGCTATGGGCCCGAAGCCAGAGTGGCCTACTGTCTAGCTTTAAAGGGGAAGGCTTCCCAGAGGAGGTGACATATGAGTTAAAGGGAGAGAGGGGGAACTCTTCAGGTGAGAAGAAGGAAGCCCATTCCAGGCAAGTGTGCAAAGCCTAGGGAGACTGGCCCACCATGTTTGGGAGATGGGGCAGCCAGAGCTGGGAGTGAAGTCTCAGGAGGGGCGGGGCAGGAGAGGAGGCTGGGAGGTCCCCTGGGAAGTCCTCAGGACCAGGACACAGGTTTTGAACTCGATCATGTGCCTTTGATCAACTTTGTAAGGCAGAAGCAACCCAGCACTGCCATGAGAAAGAAAGAGGCCATGGACATAAAAAAGTTCTTCATAGGGGGTAAAAATGTGTGTGTGTGTGTGTGTGTGTGTGTGTGTGTGTGTGTGTGTGTAGCCTTTGATCATTTAAAAAGTCCGTGAGAAGCAGGCACAAAATATAGGTAGCTATGAATACTCCTATTTTGCAGATTTGGACACTGAGGCCTAGAGCAGGGGTTTGCTAAGGGAACGTAGTAAGAGGCTCACACAACAGAGGCAGCAAGTTCAAGATGAAACTGACAAGTAAAGACTGAGCCCTCAGTGCGTGCCAGGCACTGTTCTGGGTGCTGAGGGAGCAGCAGCAGATAAGACAGACCAGGGTCTGCAGGGCTCCTGGAATTCACCATCTGGACACCACTGTGAGGAGGGAAGCGCAGGCACTGTGGGAGCTCAGAGGTAGCATGAGTTGGGTCATAGGGAAGGAAACTCCTGGACTGGCTCTTGGAGTGGGGGTGGGATGGCAGGGAAGGGGAGGCCAGCCAGGCTCAGGAAGGGACAGGAGGTGCTCGGGGTGAGGGAATAACCTCAGCAGAGTGGATGATTTGACCTGGAACTGGGCAAGCTGGAGAATGAACTCAAATGGAGGAAGAAAAAAATGATGGGGGTGGAAAGGCTGGCAGATGAGACAGATTGCCCAGGGCCTGGGTGGGCTCTGCCTGAGGGCAGTGGGAGCCACTGAAGGTTCCTGGGAGGAAAAGACTGTCATTTTGAAATACTCCCTCTGCTGCTGAGTGGATAGTAGGCTGAAGGGACTGAAAGCCGAGGCAGGAGACAGGCAGGAGCTGTGGCCAGAATCCTGGCAACAGGCAGGGGGTGGTGAGAAGGCGGGAAGAGGGGAGAGCAGAGGAGAGAAAAAAATGGGTGGGGCAAGGGTGGGGAGAAGGGGATGAGCCTGGTGGTGTGGGTTTGGGAGCTTCATGCTGCTTCATTTCACCCCCAAGTTCTTCATGTCACCCAAAATATTATGCATTTGTTCCCGGGTGTCGCTTCTGTCTCTCCACTGAAATGTCATGTCCATGAGTGCAGAGACTGTTTTGTTCTCTAACCTGCTGTCCCCAGCACCTAGGAAAGTGCCTGGCCATAGCAGATGCTCCAATAGTTATTTTCAGAGTGAATAAATGAACAGATTGGATTGGGTATAAGGTGAGGGAGAGAGAAGAGACAACAGTGATGCCTGTGTCTCAGGCATGGGTGCCCAGAGGTCATAGAGCTGGTTATTGAAACCCAGAGGAAGCATCAGGCGGGGGATGGTGGCAGTGGGAGTGGAAAGGAGGCACCCAGAGGACAGTGGAGGTGAGGCTCTGCTGCTCAGGTAGGCTGCAGACAGTAAGTCACGGGCCATCAGCAGCTGGAATGACCATAAATGAACCCAGAAGGAATGCATGGGCAGAGATGCACCGTTCAGATGAGAATGCCAAAGAACAGTCTCGCGCAGGAACAAAAGAGGGCTCACAGGCAAGAGTATGACAAGGAGCTGTCAGAAAATAATCAGAGCAGTAATAACACTGATACCGACATGTACTGAGCATCTGCTGTGTGCTGGTTGCTGTACTGAGCACTTTAAATTGTACTAATTCACTTAATCCTCATAACAATTCCTCCCCATGAGGTAGGCTTTATGTTCTATTGTCCTTTTTTTTTTTTTAAACATTTGGAGAAACTGAAGGACAAAGAGCTGAGGTGGTTTGCTTAAGATCACTAAAGGGTAAGGTTTAGAGCTAGGATGGACCCCAGGCCTGTCCTATTCCAAAATCAGTGCTCAGCCAGGTGTGGCGGCTCACACCTCCACTCCCAGTGCTTTGAGAGGCTGAGGTGAGAGGGTTGCTTGAGCCCAGGGGCAGCCTGGGCAACAGTGCAAGAGCCTGTGTTTACAAAAACATAAAAAAATAGCCAGCTGTTGTGGTACATGCCTGTGGTCCCAGTTACTCGGGAGGCTGAGGCAGGGAGATCCCTAAGCTTAGGGGTTTGAGACCGCAGTGAGCTATGATCACACCACTGCCCTCCAGCCAGGTGACAGAGCAAGACCCTATCTCAAACAAAACAGGCAAACAAAATCAAAACAAAACAAAATCAGCGC